AAACAATTCTTCAAAATTGAAGAAATCTACATATGTGGATGTTATCAATTATTTTGAAATCTTCCTAGTTATATGTAAGGTAATACTGAAACATATCACACTTATTTCATTATACAGAAAACAACTCTCTAATACAAAGCTCAAACTTACCAAATATTCAGGTCTTTCACTTTTCTTCAGTGAAACTTTCACAATTATTTCACCAGTATTTTCATTAATTGAAAAAGTTTTTAAGTTAATTTCTCCATCCTCGCAGATGGAACAGATCTTGTATTCAATTATTGAATTATCACTAAGTTCTGAGTCCTCATCTCTGGCCATTACTTTTGTCACAGAATACCCCGGAGTTTCTTCCTACAAATATGGTAGTCATCACAGTATTAGTATTCCGAATCTCATTCAATCACCAGAATTTTCTAAACACTACAAGTAATTTGAATCTCTTATAACATAGCATGATAGAAGCTTTAAATCTCTTAACTTTCCTTGAACCTCCTCTCACAAAGTATTTTTAACAAAATAATAATCTTGGATTTCTTCTAATGAAAAAAGATTCAAAAATTTTTTATAATGTGTCTCTCTTTTAATAAAAAAGGTTTATTAATAATCTAGCACCCAAATTGCTGGACAATCATTTGTCAGGGATTACAAGCAAGAAACTAAAAACAACATAAGCCACTTTTTCTTTTTTTAATAAACACACTATTCTTAATACAAAAGTAAGTTGCATCTCTCAAAGTATTGTTAATTATGAAGGTATTTTGAATCTCATTATGCAATCAAACAATATCTGTATGTGTAATAATAGCCTTGAATCTCATGCAAGGAAGTATTAATTACAATAAAATATCACATGCCACCCAATTACCAAGTTTTAAAACTTAGTATACTATTAATTCGCATCATGTATTCAATACTAAGATAATAATTCTAGAAACATCAACACTATGTATTATGTGTGTGTGTGTATGTATATATGTATATAATATATCAATTATTTTTTCCACAATTTTTGACAATTAGAAGTAGTAATTCATTTTATTTTCCTATTACCAAAACAATTATTATTTTAAATAAGTACTCTAATGTTTTATTTATTTACAGTAAAAAATATTTAATGAATTACCACAAAATACCAAAACTATATCAGCAAAATACTAGGAAATATTCCATTTACAAGAATATTTTATGTTATATCTACAAAATTATATACTTTACTTTTTGGCTGTTCAAATACAGAAAAAAGAACCAAGACTGGCAGTTCAAATACAGAAAAAGAACCAGACCTGTTAGTTCAAATACAGGAAAAGAACCAATTAAGATTGGTAGTTCAAAGAATAGAAAAGAACCTAGCTTAGATGTTTTGAAAGGGAAAAAGACAACAAATTTGGTAGCCCAAACAAAGGAAAGGACCAAACCTTTTCACATGCTATGACTGTTTGCTCACTTTCAATTTATTACTTTTCTTATAACTTATTGTTTCATTATGCTTTTATATCATCTTCCCTCCTTTCTTATTGATGATAACAAGAAAAATAACTGAATTTTAAATAAATCAAGTTACAAAATCGACACGTCTATGTTTGGTTGTTTTGATATTAAGGACAAAGGTAGTTAAATTCATCATACAAAAGCAAGTTTATTCTAGCAAAATATGTATACAATGGTTGAAACCTGTAGCTGACAATATTATTCTTGCTATATTTTTAACACAAACAATTAAAAGTAATATACATTAACAAACATGTGGTTGAATTTCTTTACCTCTTGGACATAAACTGTTTCTGTTTCTTTAGGCTTTACAAATTTAGGGTAGTTCAAGTTCACATCCTCGACAGAAATACAGAACGTTTCATTTTTGTTTCGAGGTGGACTTCCTTTGTCTTGTGCTCTTACAGATACATTGAATTTCTTGTGGTTCTTCAATAAACTCCTACGAACAATAATCACTCCTGTAGCATTGTCAATCTGGAAGAACGCTAAGGGAAATTAAGATAAATGCACATTGTATGTGTGTTACGACTAATTAACACTTCATTTCTGGATATACTACCTCATTATTTCTCCCATCTTGTGATGTAATACATGTATAATTAGAGTTCTTGTCCACATTTTGTGTATCCTAATAAGTGCAAGGTAACAGTTTAGCATGACTCTCAGATTGCTTTTGTTCAGATGCTTGTTTGTTTTGAATTTCGCACAAAGCTACACGAGAGCTATCTGCATTAGCCGTCCCTAATTTAGCAGTGTAAGAGTAGAGGGAAGGCAGTTAGTCATCACCACCCACCACCAACTCTTGGGCTACTCTATTCCCAAAGAATAGTGTGACTGACCATCACATTATAACACCCCCATGGCTGAAAGGGTGAGCATGTTTGGCGAGATGAGGATTCAAACCCGCGACCCTTAGATTGCTAGTCGAGTGCCCTAACCACCTGGCCATGCCAGGCCTTGTTCAGATGCACTGATATCTAGCTGGTGTTCTTTTTACAGAAACTTGTGAAAGATCTTAGAACAATGTGCTTATACAAAATGTGCAGTCACAATTTCTAAATAAGGATCTAGACAATATAAGTCAGACTAAGGCCCCAGTATGATATTCCAAAATCCTTGGACTACATACATCAATGATCATTCCATATATTGAAGGGAGATAAACCACCAACTCACACTAATTTGTACAAGTTTCTGTGCCAACTATCAAAATGAGTATGACATTCCATCTAATATAGAAACAGAAACATACAAGCATAAGTTCTACTAAATAATCTTTGAGGTATATACCCTTTGTATAAACTAGAGATGTAGAACAATATAAGAGAATATATATATATACATACATCTGGAAAGTAAGTTGTTTTTTATAAACTTTTATCAAAATATGTAAATCCTTCCAGTATGCACTACAATTTTTGAAAAATGTAGAACAATTTTTGACATTTTAAAATCTGGCTTACAAGGACATTTTAACTACTTGAAAAACATCCAAAACAAAAATTAAAACTTCCAAGAGCATGGCTTAATCTCAAGCACCTCAACTGTAAATGTTTTATTTAGATAACTGTTGCAGAATTGTCCTTTCATTGGCAGGTTCCTTTAAATTACCCAGTAAATATAATTCATGGTCCAATACACATACTTAGGTAGATGAGGGTACAGGTGTGGATGTGGTATATCTGGATTTTCAGAAAGCATTTGACAAGATGCTGCATAAAAAAAGCTTGTTAATAAAAAGATGTATTTGTAGATGTGGAGGATAAGTTAGCTCACTGGAAGGAAAAATGTCTAGATGGAAGAAAGCAGAAGGTTGTTATAGATGGAGTTCAGTTAAACTGGATTAATGTTATTAGTGAGGTGCCTCGGGGCTCTAATCTAATTTTCTCCTTTTACATATAATAACATTTTGGGACAACATGCGACCTATTGGTCCATCTTGACTGTTCCATTTTCTAGATAAAGCTAAAACTATTAATAAATAAATTTCAAAAAATTATTAAAGCAAGCACTTATCATTCATATACTTATCAAGCTTTCTTTCAAACTCACTTAAATTTATTGCCTCTACAACATCCAAAGGCAACCCATTCCAAAGACCAACCACCCTGTTAGAAAAATAAAACTATTAGCTGAAGATGACTCCTACCCTGCCAAAATTTATATTTCTGTCCTCTAGTTCTACTATTCTCACTATGGTATAAATGAAGGAATGGTCAATAAATTACTTAAATTTGCTAATAATATCAAAGTTTTAGGTACTGTAGGCTGTGAGGAGGATACTACTGCTTTACAAAAGGACTTGGATTATTTGGCAAGTTGAGCAAATAAATGGCAGATGGATTTTTTAATTATAATAAATGCATGTGGAATATCATAATTTAAATCATAAGTATAATTTGGATGGGAATAACCTTAACAGCATTATGAAAGTTGTTTGTTTTGTTGTTGTTTATTATTAAACACAAAGCTACACAAAGGGCTATCTGTGCTCTGCCCACCACAGGTATCGAAACCCGGTTTCTAGCAGTATAAGGGATCTTTGTGTTCTGGTCGATCAGTCTCTTAACCCATCTAAGATAAGTGGTGTTGCTAGTTGGAAGGCAACCAGGATTTTAGGTTGTATCTACAAAAATATTGAATACAAGTCTAAAGAGGTTATAATGTCTTGAATAGGTCACATAGTCCCATTGAAAGTACTCTGCCCAGTTTTTTGAATTGTTGGAAAGGGCTAATAAGAAGATACTTGGGATGGAAAGGTTGTCATATGATGATAGTTTAAGGTCCCTAAAATTGTTTGGGAGAATCTGATTGAGATGTTTAAAATTATTAAGGGAGCCAATAGTGATGATGTATCATTTGTTTATTTTTATCGATGAGAATTGTAAGACTAATGGATACAAGTACAAATTTTGGAAGGGAAGAAGTCATCTTCAGCTTAGACAGCTTTATTTTTCTAACAGGGTGATTTGCCTCATGAACAAATTGCCTTCAGATGTGGTGGATGTTTAAGGATTTATTTTAGTTTAACAGACAGGACAGCCTAGATGGATCAAAACGTCCCTTACTGCCTTTAATGTTATGTTATTCCATAATTACAGTATATTACTTTATTTCCTCACTTAACGTTGATACAAGTTTCAACACTGTTAGACTGCTGCAAGTTGTTTTATAGCTACCTTAAAAATGATGTTAACAAAACAAATTACTTGTAAAAAGTGAGATAGCAAACATAGATAAAAAAAACACAATTACTGATTCAACTCTCTGTAAAAATCTCTGTATACTTCACATCTATCTCATATTAGTTTCAAATGTGCTAGAACACTTTATGTCACATCCTTAGAACTTTATAGGTGTTCTAGACCTATTATATTTCACTTTTTGATCTGAATATTGTCATTAAGTCCTGTAGCTCCCTCTATCCAATATTCAAATTACTACATTACAGATTCCAACATTATAATTTGAACTTAAAGCCTTTCTATAGGCATGTCAAATTTAACTACCTATGAATGTTTGGAGCATTTAGATAGTGCAATGATTTTTAATGTATTGCTTTAAACAATATCTTCAAATTTTAGTATTCATATATTTTTATTTATTTAAACCAATACTGCAGCAAATAAGAAAAACATCTGAGCAATTACGTTAAAATACTGGTAGGTATTAAGATTTTAAATTTATATGAATACTAATGATGAATAATCATTGTGTTCCCTGATGTATTAACATAAATAAAGTGAACATTAATTTAAATTTCTTACTTTGAACCTCCTCATCGGTATTAAAGAAGTATTGTACAGTGCCATTATCTCCACTGTCTGAATCTGTTGCCTGAACTTGAGCAACTTTAGATCCTACTTCCTTATCTTCAGGGATTGTAACACAATCCTCATCCCAAACTTCAAATACTGGATCATTATCATTTATGTCAAGAAGAGTCACAATGACCTAAGATAAATTTCTGATGTATTAACTAACACATATTAAATTGTTGATTAAACATTAGAAAATTTTAGACAAGTTATTTCCAAGTTATAAATGTCTAAATACAGTATTCATGCATCAGACTTTAAAATAATTTCTTGTTTCTTTTCAGATCTTGCACCACATTTCATCATGCAATGTAACATATATCTGTTTAAGCATATATAAATGTTGCCTATTCAATTTACAATACTGCATTAAATGTGGACATATTTACATCTTGATTAACATATAAATTTACTTAAGAAAACTAGACGTACATATAACATTTACACAGCAAAGATGAAGACTACACTTGCATAATATTTACGTAATTAAACTATTTTCACATAATTATAACATTACAGACTCTAGATCTACAGAATAATTACATAATTTGACTAGTTTCAAAATAATTAAAACAACATTATAAAGACTGGATTTCCATGATATTTGAATAATTAGGCTAATTTCATGTAACTAAAACAACATTATAAAGACTGAATTCCCATGATATTTGAATAATTAGGCTAATTTCATGTAATTAAAATAACATTAAAAAGGTTGGATTCTCACAATACTTATATATTTTATTTTTATATAATTATAATAATAATAAAAAGACTATTCACACAATTTACACAACTAGGCAGTTAAGTTTCACATACTTACAATAGTATCACATTAGTTAGAACTCTTTTTATTTCAGCCAAACTTCTGCCATTGCAGCTTTATAAGAGCTAGTAAAACAAAAATGTACTAATAGGCTTGATGAAGCCATAACATTAAAACGTTGGTTAAAAATAAATATTTTTGTTTCTAACTTTATTGTCAAAACGTATTTTTTTCAACAACATTTACAAAAGACTATGTTCACTGATAGACCTAACTTTACTAACAAATTTTCAACAGAAATTCCAAACTAATATATGCCTAACTTACAAATACAGTTATTATCAGAATTTTCCCAGTAATGAATCAATAACAAACACACTGAATAACTCACTGCTTATTAATTGTCTAACTCTCTAATTGACATTGAATTGAATGTCAGTAACTAAGGTTGGACTGATTCACTCTGTCATTTTATATCAATACTTGTTTTCTGCTTTTTACATGAAGCCTATATTTTTATACCAAGGCCTTAACTGCATGGAATTTCTAGATATTGCATCATAACAAGATTGGTTTTAAGGGAAGTTAAGGTGACCATCTTTATTTCAAAAGCCTAGTTTTCAGCTAAATAAGTCATATACTTTTACTTTCATCAGTGATGATATGCAATACTTTGATTAAATGAGGTCCAACAATTGTGAAGGGCTGTGACTGTTTTTTGTTTTAATATCTGCATATGGAATTACAGTTGATTTGTGTTCTGAATTATGTGCAACTTTAGAATGTTTTAAGAATTAACATACTTGAGTAATAGCTTTCCTACTCTTTGTGAGATCATCGGGAGTGTCAAAAGCTTCCACAGCAAACTCATACTTTTCTTGTTTCTCACGGTCTAGACGTTCTGTGTTCATGATAGAACCCTCAAGTAGAAAATAAAAAACATTAACATATAAGCTCATTTCAGAATATTATGCAACATTCTTAAACAGCTTGAAAGGTGAAAAAATGAAGTAATCCAGAAAGATAGGCAGTTCAAGTCAAAGGTCATCCACCTTGATCATCCTTGAAAGTGCATAAGTGAGAGAATGAACAACTGGGTAACTACAGAAAAGAATTTGCAATCAAAATGTCAACTTCCTGTGGGTCCTGTCAAGACTACTTCTCATTTCAGGATATTGTGCAACAATCTTAAACAGCCTGAAAGGTGAAAAATAGGGGGTATGTGAAATCCCATGACAACTTTAGAAATCTACAATTCCAGAAAACTGATTTCCATAATTTAACCAAAAGGGAATCTGCAATAGCCACACCTGTAATTAGATCTCAAATCAGTCACGAGATGGAGCTATAAACTAAAAGTTTGTACTTGAACAAAACTCAAAGCCATTCTATGAACCATATGCCACAGCTGAAAACGTAAGTAATACATTTTTTTTAATTTTTTGGGCACATGTATAATGTTCAATGATAAAAACTCACAATTATTTTATACACATTCTATAAAAGTGAGATTGTTTCCAATCTCCAAATTACTAAAATACAATAACTTACTGTACAGGATAAAAAGTGGGAAAAAACCCCAATGAAACTGGAAAACAATTTCATACATTCTATATGTTTTGATGTATACTACTGTGTCATCCTCAGGAGTGTAAGGTTTTGCAAAAATAACACTTATTTATACAATTATTAAATCACCAATTTACATACTAAAGAATATCATGCCATCTGCTGACAACATTTCCATCAGATCCATCATTCTTATTCAATAATTTAAATTTATTTTTTTATATTTAATTATCTCTACAGATTCACATATATTCATACCAATTAAATTTCCAGGTTGTGCTTAAATAAGAATGTTTTCCCATTTAAAAAACAATGATTATTTTATACACAATTCTATAAACAGTTTTTAACATTGAACATTATACACTTGCCCAAAAAAATTTTTTAAATTAATCTAGCAACGAGATATATGGCAAGACAAAGACTGAAGTTAAAAAAATGCCTTCAAGAACTCGCATTTTTAATGAGGTGTAAAAGAAATAAAATAATACCAAAATTCATAAAATTGGATTGCAATATTAAGAACAAGAAAGTGAAGTATCAACTTGAGAAGATTAAAGAGAAGATACTGAATATTGTAATTCAACAAAAAAGAAGTTTCATAGCCAAGAAAGTAAAAAAAGTGTATTTCTTGCATTTAGCTCTATCTAAGGAAATGAATGAAGACTGGAGCGGAATGAGAAAGGAAGTCATAGATAAATACAGAAAAAATATTGCTACACGTAAAACTACATTGGACAAAAAGTTCAAAACTTTATTAATTCAGAAAAAAGAAGTGAATAAAGAACATTATACACTAGATTCATTGCCAGATAAGTACAACAGTTTTTTAAATAACCCTAAAGTCATAAATAAATCTGATTTAATACTAAATTATAAACAAGTTGATGTTTTAGACAGAGGTTTGATTTTCTCATTTGGTCCAAATAAAGTTTTTAAAAAAAGATATCATATATGAAACTGAAACTAACTTTGAAAAATTATATGATGAAAAAGAAGGTATTATTAGAAGTGAGTGTTGTACTTTATTAAATAATTTTAAGTTCAAAAATAATAATAAAAAAGACTTTGAAATTTTGAAAAATTTAAAGGAACAAGATGTTGTCATTTGCAAGGTCGATGAAGGGTGACAAACTGTTATTCTTAATAAAAAATTATTACGATTCTAAAGTTGAAGAAATTTTGAAAGAAGGTCTGTATGAGAACATTAAACTTAATCCTATAAATAAACTTCATACAATAGTTAAAGAAAAAATTAAGAGCTATATAACTCTAGCACCTTATGAAAAGCAAAGTTTAATTCCCAGTAAATTTATTTTACCTAGATTATATGCCTTGCCTCAAGTTCATAAGATTGGAAATAATTTCAGACCTATTGTAGCCAATATTAAGAGTTCAACTTATAATGTAGCAAAACATATATCTAAAAACTTCTCATTTTTAAGGGATAAAATATAAATACAGAGTTAAGAATTCGTTTGAATTTGTGGAAAGAATTCAGCATATAATTTTAGATCAAAAAGATAATTTAGTGTCATTTTATGTTGTGTCAATGTTCACCAAAGTACCTGTGAAAAAAAAGGCTATTGAATGTTTTGAGAAAAAACTGAAAGAAAATAATAATTCAGTCTTAGAAATAATGGATATAATTAACCTGGTAGAAATATGTGTTGAAAACTCATTTTTCCAAATTAATAGCAAAGTTTATAAACAGAACGAAGGTTTAGCTATGGGTTCTCCTTTATCTCCATTATTGTGTGAGTTATTTATGGACAGTTTTGAAAGTGAAGCACTAGAAAAAGCAGATAAAAAACTGAAGTTTGTTAAGGTATGTAGATGACACATTTTTGATTTGGCAGTATGGTAAAGATGAACTAGCTAATTTTGCTAATTACCTTAGTAACATTGATAATTCTATAAGATTTTATTATGAAGTTGAGATAAATGGTTGTTTACCTTTTTTCGATGTTTTAGTGAGTAAAAATAAGGATAAATTGGAAACTACCATTTATCGTAAACCTTTCTCTGTAATCATTCCGCCACATCAACAATCTTGTCACACTACATCTCAATAAACCTGTATTTTTTACTCTTATGTGGATAGGATAAAAGTATTGTTACGTCTTTGGTCGTTTGTTAATTTCCAGTATAAATTCTTCCCGAGGAACTTCAGTGATAGAAGTCCTTTGTTAAATAAAACTAGTTTATTCTTTCTCAATACAACTTTGCAATACACAGAATTTCCACAGTCACTTTTACTTAAACACACGCTATAATTCACAACGATTCACGCACTTTACTTACGGTCACTACCGCTCGCTTGACTCAATTATCTGTCTCTATATCTATATGTCTCCAATTATTTGCCGGGCTTATACACTAAAATAGAGGGCGCCTGGAAAAGACTAGAGTTGCCAGGAAAAGTCATGATCCTTCTAGAAACTCATGACATGTTTCCAGCGTCACGTGAATTCCGCTGTCGTAACAGTATCAAATTGAATTTTTGTTTAATAAGAATATTTCAAATGCGACGGTAGCTTTTTCCCCCCACAACTCTGTCTTCAAAATAAGGGTGCGTCTTATATTCCGAAAAATACGTTATATGCGATATTTTAAACAGTTCTTACGATCTTCGAAAAAAGTAGCTTAAAATTTATTGACTCACAGTGAAAAACTATTCAATTAACTAATTTTAACCCCCCCCTCCCCCAGTGGCTCAATGATAACAGCACAGATAACCTTTGCGCCTAACAACAAACAAAAAACAAATTTTAAAAATTGGACGAATTCAAACGAAGAGTATGCACGGTGGAAATTGGAACTAAACCAACAATGAATTATAATAATGCAAATTAGAACTCTTATGTCAAAGTGAGTGATATTTGATTTGGTGAAAGTCTTTGTGGGTGGAATTCTTTTCTTATTTTTCTATTTCAAACAATATTCCTTACGTAAACTTTTAAGGGTTTGTTTGTTTTGAAGTTAAGCACAAAGCTACACAATGAGCTATCTGTGCTATGCCCACCATGGGTATCGAAACCCGGATTCTAGAGTTGTAAGTTCGCAGACATCCCGCTGTGGCACCGGGGGAACAACTTTTAAGGGTGTATGAATTTGTCACATTAGGTCGTGTTAAATATAACATTTGCTAAAATTAGTTTTGTTTCCTTGTTATTAAGCACGGAGCTACTGAGATTAATTTAATGTACACTGACATTTACTCTGGTAATCACGAATTCACTTATAAGAACAACAGGGAATTCAGTTATGTGTTTTTAAGTATGTATGCTAACGTTATAAGCTGTCTTAATATTGTTTATGTTGTTTGAGAAATGATAACGTGAATAGACAAAAGGTAGTTGATGTTTGTGTCACTAGATGGCCTTCAAAAAGGAATATAGAAATATATTAACATAGTTTCAAAACTTTGAAAAAACTCGTCATGTGGTTTGTTTGTAATTAAGCACAAAGCTACACAATGGGCTATCTGTGCTCTGCCCACCACGGGTATCGAAACCCAGATTTTAGCGTGTAATTGCGCAGACATACCGCTGTGCCACTGGGGGGGGGGGGGGGCTTGTCACATAGATGGACATCATTAATAATAAAAAAATAAAAAAAGGTTGCGGCAGCTTTAATATAATTTTAAAATTGTTAACAACTTGCTATATAAACGAAAGGTGGTTTCTTGGTGTATAGAGTATAAGCAGCAGACTCGTGTTTAAAGTATCTAGTCGACTACAGACATTTAATATATGTGTACATTTAAGCAAAGTATAAGTTACTTTCCTGTGATTTTTGTAAATAGAAGTTTTATTGAAACTTTTCATTGTAAAGTTATGGAGACGTCTTGATCAAGATCAATTAAGAAAGACGAGTCGAATTATATCAGAAGATTGTTTCTGTGACCGAAAACTACGAAACTGTTACAACAAATATGCTGTATATAAAAAAAAGGAAGAACAATTAAATAAATTTAAAGTTAAAACCCTGATATACATATATATTTATAATGAAATAATAAAGTCCAATACTATTAATTACATTAATTGTCAATAGGCGATTAAAATCAGCATTGTAAAACAATAATGAACTTAATATGAAATTTATTTATTTCATTATTTGGCAGAAAATGATGTTAAGGTGTTGATTTATTTGTGGAATTTTCTACCACCTTTGTATACTAACTAATAGCTTAGCTAGCTATTTGACAATTAATTAAATATGCTTATTATATATATATATATATATAGAGAGAGAGAGAGAGAGAGATTAAAACGTTGTTGGAGCCTCATCACGTTCATTTCCAAAAGGCTCACTGGTCGGGCGGCCATGTACAAAGCACGCCACA